TCTGTTATTCCTGTGTGTAAACCTATTTGCTAGTAAAATAACTGGCTCTTTTCAAGAAGTCTGAAGAGAGCGGAGGCCTGGCCACAGAGCTGACCTGCCCTGTCCCTGAGCAGGGGGCACAGCCCCACGCCCAGAGCCATCGTGCCAGCACACCCGCTCCCCTGGAGCCACCCCAGGTCCCATGAGAAATGAGGGGGGCGGGGGAGGCAGGAAGGCCGGGCTGCACAGACACACAGGCCCAGGGCTCCCAGGGGCTGCCAGATACCCGGCAGGCATCCTGCTTCCACACAGCCCGCCCAGGTCCCGCTCCTCCAGCCCGTAGGGGACCACGGGAAGCTCCTTCGGGGCAGGCCACACGAGCTGCTGGGTGCTGCCCTGCACCCGGGAAGGACTCAAACCCTGCCTGGAGTGGGGACTCAGGACTGGGGAGCCAGTGCCCCTCAGAGGGGAGGCCTGTGCTGCTGGGGGGCTGGCAGTGGGGGCGGGGCTCCTCTGGGCCTGGGGGTGAGGCTGAGTGGGGCCTGGCAGGGGCCCCAAGTGGGGATAAGGGTGCTGCAGCAGGCTTGGGCCTGAGATCCCCAGGCTGGGAAAGGGTCCCCATACCACATCCCTAATTAGGGAAGGGGGCGTGGCTAACACAGGGCCTCAGACTTGGGTGTTAAGGGAAGTAGAATTCATAAGCCCAAATAAGCCTCTTTGGTACACTGATTATTTTAACTGGTTATTTTTAATTCTGAGGCTGAGTAGAAGTCAGCCTATGAGAGACATTTAATGTACAAGGCAACCTCCCTGTAAGGGTGCCCCTACTGTACTGGGGCCAGCGGGGAGAACACATTTCCTGGAAACGTTCATGGATGGAGGCAGCAAGGACTGACTTCTGCAGTAAGCCACCCTTATTTCTGTGCTTTTCGGGGTAACCTCCCCAAGGAGACCTCTCCTGCCCGATGCAACCTCTCATTTTGACCTCAAATGGCATTTAGGCGCTGGCTTCAGCATTTCGAGAAGTTGCTCAACTTTATTGGGTCCCTCCCATAGACAGGAGGTATACTTGTTGGTAAATTGTTATTTTTCTCCTGTTAAACTGTCTTTTTATTATGACAGAGGGGAGTTCCAGCCGAGAACCTGGGAGGGTAGAAGGAAACCTCCAGCCCCTTCCAGCCTCTGGGGAAGGAGCCTCCCTCCCACTGACCCCGATGTAACCTGACACTCAGTGGTTCATCCCACCTCCTAAGGCCAGCCCATTTCCACTTACGAAATGAAACCAGCCCAGGAAAAGGAAACTTAGGAGAAATTGAAACTCCTGGGTAAAGGAGGGCCACCCTAGTGTGTGCTGGCATCAGGACCAGAGTTGCTCATCAGGACCGCAGTTGCTTATCTGGGCCACAGTTGCTCCGTCCCCACCATGAACCGCACATCCCAGAATTTCTTCACTGGGGCCCACGGGGCGGTGCCCCCAGCCTACGAGGTGCTGAAGGAGGAGCACGAGGTGGCCGTGCTGGGGGCGCCCCAGAGCCAGGCGCCCGTGACGACCACGGTGATCAACATCCGCAGCGAGACCGCCGTGCCCGACCACATCGTGTGGTCCCTGTTCAACACCATCTTCATGAACTGCTGCTGCCTGGGCTTCGTGGCATTCGCCTACTCTGTAAAGGTGGGGGGGCACCTGGGGGCGTCTCCAAGGAAGTGTCTGGGAGCCTGGAGAGGGCCCTGCCTGCCCAGACGGCATGTGGGCTGGGGAGCCCCCATGTGTGTTGTTCTCTGTGTGTGTGTGTGTGTGTGTAAACATGTGCAGGTCATGATGAGGCTGCAGGGGGTGCGTGGGGATGACCAGAGTCAGCCTTTTGTCCCCTGGTGGGTGAGTGGCCGGTAAAGGGGCCTGAGAGGAAGGACGGGTGAGCCCTGGGCCTCCTGGAGAGGCCGACTCTCTGTGGGAAAGCAGCTGAAGACCCCAGGAGGGTAGGAGGGCTCACCAGCTGCTGTCGTGCTCAGACTCCAGGGGACGTGCAGGCGTGGGTCCCCGCTGGGAAGAACGGGCACTGGGGGAACCAGCAGGGGAGGGCCTGAGTCACAGGCCCGGCGGTCACCTGGACCCTCACCACCTCTCCCCCTGCAGTCTAGGGACCGGAAGATGGTCGGCGACATCACTGGGGCCCAGAGCTACGCCTCCACCGCCAAGTGCCTGAACATCTGCGCCCTGGTCCTGGGCCTCCTTCTGATTATCATCCTCATCATCATTGTGTCCACCGGCTCCCTGATGATTCTTCAAGCACTCTCGGAGCTCATACAGAACCATGGAGGCCACTAGTCCCTGCCCACAGTCCGAGGCAGTCACCCCTTTTTCCTGCAGCTTATACAGGCATCTGTCCACCATGAAATAAAAGGAAGCATTTGTATGTGAGGGCACTGTGTTTTGACCTGGGGAGGGGGCAATTGAGAGTCCCGGCCTGGACGTGAGCCCGAGCCCTCCTCCTCCCACCCCGCACTGTCCCACGTGCTATGTGGCTCTAGGCGGGGTCCGGCCTCTCTGGGGCCTTGGGCTGGGTCTGCAGTAACTGGTCAGGGGGTTGGGGTGTGGGTTCCTCAAGGGAAGGGCCACGCTGGGCACAGAACACCCTCAGCTCTGTCGACAAAACCGACAGAAAATACAAACAAGACCCTCAGAAGCCAGCAAAAAAAAAAAGATACGTTTGGCGCATTAGGATTTGCAATCGGAGAAATGCAGATTCGGGTGGCAAGTCAACTGTGCTCCAGGAAAGTCCAGATGGCGGGGTCACAACACAGCGAGGATGGTCCAGAGCAGTCTCGGGAGGTCCCACAAAGGGGGCGGCGCCAGCAGGCCAGGGTCCCGGCCGGCAGCTGGCTGGTGGCTAAACAGTTTCCAGGGAGCGAAGAGCAGGAGTTCGGGGGGGTCCGAGGGCGGTCAGGCCAGGACGCTGGTCAGTTCCGGCTCTCCCGGCTCCCAGCTCCCTCTCACACCCTGTGGCACGTCCCTCTCGTCACTGTCCTTTGCGGGGCCCCGCAGGCTCCTCCTGCCCGCAAGGCGACAGGAGCACAGCGTCCACCACTGCAGAGAGAGCCCCGTGCTGCTCAGGTGGAGGAGTGGCCCCTGCCCTGCCCTGCCCTCGACCTCAGCCCCATCCCTGCTTCTGCCACGGCCTCCAGACGCGGGGGGCGCTCGAGGGGCAGGGCAGACCCGCCCACCGCCAGCTGGGCTGGGGCGTGTAGAGGGGCAGCAGAGCCACCCCCTCGTCCCCTGACTCCACATGCCGGTCCTCTGCCCCCAAATCTGTCCCTACCCCAGCCCCTTGACGTGGAGAGGCTGCGGGGAGGCTGGGATCCCAGGGTGGGCCAGGAGGGAGCCCCTCTCCCTGTGGGTCTGACACCCGTGAGCAGGAAGCCCTGGAGGAGGGACGGCTGGCAGGCATGCCCCCGGGGTCGGGAAGGACTGCCTCTTCCCGAGGTGGGGAGGAGCCAGCAGCCCGCAACGCCCTGGAGTCGGCAGGGACGCTGCCCAGCGGCGCAGACCCTGCTGGGTGGGCTGCGGGGGCAGAATCTTCCCACACCAGCAGCGACAGGAAGGGAGCCAGGGGCGAGGCCGGGGCACCTCTGCCCACCCCCACCCGGGACTCATCTGCCCTGCTCTGTCCTCCCCCAGCTGGGACCAAACCTGGCGTCTTAACGAGCCCTATCTTCTGAATTCCTCCGAGGCCCAGTCCAGGCAAAGCAGAGGCAGAGCCTTCTCCCCACGGGCTACTTGGAAAAGGGACCAGTGGCGCCTCCTGGCCGCGCTGCCGGCCCCCCCATCACCCTGGCCCAGGGCTCCAACCTTCCTGCTCTGTCCTGCCGCTCCCCCAACTCTTCCAGCCCCGTCCACGCACTGCTGACAGAGGACACGTGACCGTCCACTGGGAACCAGGCCGGGCTGTGGCTCCAAGGACCACAGCTGCTCACGGCCCAGCAGTCAGCACCCAGGACCGTCGAGGGAAGGTCCCTCAGTTTCCCCTGCCTGATGCCTCAGGCCTCCTGTGAATTCTCAGAAGGTCCAGAACACGGGGCTTTGCGGCCTGCACCAAGGGGTCTCCCGCCTAGCAGGACCCTCACCCCAAATCGGTGAAGCTCAGGCGGGTTACACTCAGTGCCACCACCCCTCATGACTGCTGCCCACCTGACAGAGGATGTGGGGACCCCCTAGTCGGCCTGCCGGGGTTGGGGGTTCAGAGGTTGGGGTCAGGGTCGCACATCTGTCCCCCCATCCCTGCCCAGGTGACAGTTCTTCCTGGACTCAGAGGCAGTCTGCCAGCCTCTCCTCCTGCAGGACTCAGCACCCCTGAGGTTGAGCCCCTGTGCTCACGTGCGGGACCCAAGAGAGAGTGGGCAACCTCATCTGAGTCACCGTCCTCCAGGGAGGATCCAGACCAGCCCGGCTCCCAGGTAGGGCCCAGTGGGGGTCGGGCGTCCATCCCCTCCGGCTGCCAGGAGGAGGGGAGCACACCGTGAAGAGCTGCTGACTTCAGCAAGAGCTGGACAGGACTGGCCCTGCGCTCCCTGAGTGAGCCCAGAAGAGCCTGGGTCCCCAGAGGGCGTGTGGAGCGGGGTCACTCCCCAGCAGCAGCCTGTGGCTGCCTGGACTCCTTCAGCCTCTCTGGGGTGACACCCAGGACACCCCGTGCAGGGCGCAGTGGCTCCGCAGGTGGGGTGCGGCCCCCCCACCCGCTCCCCTGGGGAGCGGTGTCCGGGTGTTTCTCCCCGCACTGGGCTAGGAGGGGCCCCATCTCCCTGTCTGCATCCCAGGCTCACAACAGTGTCTGCGAGACCCTTCCACCCAGCAGGGCCCGCCGGGTTTGAGGGCAGGAAGGGGTCTTTCCTCTGGGGGTTCCTGTTGACCGGGGTGGGGTCACCAGCTCTGCTCTGGCCCTCTCCGTCAGCCTGCAGCTGACTGCTCTGGGCTCCCCAGAGGCCGCCGGGGTCACAGCTCCCTCCGCAGGAGACATCACAGCAACTTCACAGACAAGGGCACTTTATTGATTCAGTGGTTGACAATCTGGGTCTATAAACTGCTGCATTTGCGTTGGAGGAGGGTTGGGCCCATGCCTCAGGTGCAAAACCATCCAAGGAAGGTCGAGGCCCTGGACTGCCTCCACGGACAGCGGCTAGTAGCCTCTATTTTTCATCATCTCTAAACTCATCTGGTAGGCTGCCAGGTAGGCAAAAACGAGAAGAACGACTGATCCAATGGTCAGAAAGATGCCCAGGACCAGGGCCCAGATGTTCAGGCACTTGGCGGTGGAGGCGTAGCTCTGGGCCCCAGTGATGTCGCCGACCATCTTCCGGTCCCTAGACTGGAGGAGGAGAGGTGGTGAGGGTGCAGGTGAGCGCTGGGCTTGTGACTCAGGCCCTCCCCTGCTGGTCCCAGTCACCCCGATGGGTCCTCACACTCCCGTTCCCTGGAGTCTGAGCAGGACAGTGGCCGGTGAGATCCTCCCCTCTTGGCACCTTTGTCTGCGTCCTCACACAGAGTCAGCCTCTCCAGGAGCCCCAGGGCTCACCCTCCCTTCCTCTCAGGCCCCTTCACCGGCCACTCACCCACCAGGGGTCAGTGTCCTTTCAGCACCTCTCTCGTTTCTGGACCAGACTCGAGTGCTGAAGCTGAGTATGAAGGATGTGCCGGCTGGGTAGCAGGCCGTCTTGGGGAGCGAGAGACACAGACTCCCACCTCCACCCCATGAGCACCCAGGCAGCCTCACCATGAGCCTCACTGGGAATGATCCCCCAAGCCACACTCACACACACACACAACACACACACACCAAGAACACACACGCAGACCCTCACACACGGGGGCGCCCCAGCGCGCGCGCCATCTGGGCAGGGCCCCCTCCAGGCTCCCAGACACTTCCTTGGAGACGCCCCCAGGCGCCCACCCACCTTCACAGAGTAGGCGAATGCCACGAAGCCCAGGCAGCACCAGTTCATGAAGATGGTGTTGAACAGGGACCACACGATGTGGTCTGGCACGGCGGTCTCCCTGGGGATGCTGATCACCGTGGTCGTCACGGGCGCCTGGCCCTGGGGCGCCCCCAGCACGGCCACCTCGTGCTCCTCCTTGATCATCTCTGGCTTAGAGGGAACCTAGTGCTGATGCAGATGAGCAGGATTGAGATGTGTGTTTCCTGAGGCAGAGCTGGCGCAGATGTGGTCTGGATACAGGCAGGAGCACCAGGGGCCGGGGCCGGGCCTGCTCAGTAGTTTCGTTTCCTGAATGTTTTGCTGGGGCCAGTCCTGGGAGGTGGGAGGGACCACTGAGGATCAAATTACACCAAGGCCAGAGGAAGTGAGCTGGTGGAGGGGGCTTCACGCCAGGCCCCAGCCAACTGACTTCCCATATTGCGCTGTGTTTAGGCTCTGGGACTCTCCCCCAGCCTGGGGGTCTCAGGCCCAAGCCTGCTGCAGCACCCTTATCCCCACTTGGGGCCCCTGCCAGGCCCCACTCAGCCTCACCCCCAGACCCAGAGGAGCCCCGCCCCCACTGCCAGCCCCCCATCCGCACAGGCCTCCCCTCTGAGGGGCACTGGCCCCCCAGGCCTGAGTCCCTGCTCCAGGCAGGGTTTGAGTCCTTCCCAGGTGCAGGGCAGCACCCAGCAGCCCATGTGGCCTGCCCCGAAGGAGCCTCCCCCGGTCCTCCACAGGCTGGAGGAGTGGGACCGGGCGGGCTGTGCAGAGGCAGGATGCCTGCCGGGTGTCTGGCAGCCCCTGGGAGCCCTGGGCCTGCGTGTCTGTGCAGCCCGGCCTTCCTGCCTCCCCCGCCCACCTCATTTCTCATGGGACCTGGGATGGCTCTAGGGGAGCGGGTGTGCCGGCAGGATGGCTCTGGGCATGGGGCTGTGCCCCCCGCTCAGGGACAGGGCGGGTCGGCTCTGTGGCCAGGCCTCTGCTCTCTTCAGACCACAGGGCCACGTGCTCTCCTGTCTCTGTCCTCACCTGTGCGTGAGGCTGTGGGCGGTGATGGCCAGGCCTGGACCATCCTGTTAGGAGCAAGGCCATCCCACTAGTTGGGTCCCGTTGGGTCAAGGCTCCCAGGCCAGCCTCCGGGTGCCCCGGGCCAGGCTGACAGTTTGCCATAGCAGCTGCACCTGGACTCCCAGGGTTGGTCCACTGCGTCTAGAGTCTCCTCCAGGTCCATCTGGGTTCTTGGGCAGACTGCAGAGCAAAATGGAAGTGTCATGGGGGTGGCACCCCTGCACCCCCAGGCCCTGAGATGGTCAACGTCCGCTCCTCTCCCAGGATGGGATGTTGGTTTGGGTCTCCTCCCTGCAGGGGTGGGCGCTGGGAAGCCGCTCCAGAGTCCCCCTGCAGCCCCCCCGTGTCCGAGGCTCTTACCCAGGAGCCACTGAGCACACAAGAGGACTGGGAGCACCACCTGCTCCCGCTCCTGTCCTCCCAGGGCTGGGTGCCCACAGGGGCCAGCCCCACTCCGAGAGTGACTAGGGCCCAGATCCCCTGATTCCTTGGCCCACATGCCCCTTGGGAAAGGGCACCTGGTGATGTTCAGCTTTGAGATAGTGACCTGGGCCACAAGCCCACTTCCTGAGATGCTGGGAATCCCAAGTCCTGGACTCTGTTACCCAGGACCCACCTATTCCCCACCCTCCCCCCACCACAGCACAGCCTGGGGGATGTGCCCGCAAGCTCCCCTGCCCAGGGCCCGGCGCTCAGTCAACCATGGGATCAGGTCTGAAGACCAGTTCACAACAGAGGCCAGGGGTCATGAGGTGGTGAGATTTTGCCCCCAGTCCTCGTCTGCTATCCTGCCTCCAGGGCTGGTGGGTGCCGGCTATCTGTCCTCTATTGTGCCCTGAAGGACACATCTGTGAATGTCTCCAGAACTCTCTGCTGTGGGTCCTGGGGAGGTCACAGCTCTGCCACCCCATCACTGGTCTGCTCACTGGCCCACACCCCCAGCACAGTCCTGGGGCAGTGCAGGCGGCTGCCCCAGCCTCCGCCCTGGCTCAGGCATTTGGTGGGTTTTCCAGGTTACGCACTCTGTCCTGGGGGTCAGGGTAGAAGGCAGGACACAGTGCAGATGCCCAGTCACCCAAGGGGCTCCAGGAAATGTGGGAACGTGCAGCCCAGTGGGAGGGGCCGTGGCAGAGTGGGATGAAGAGTTCCATGTGACTGGGAGCCTGTACTTCCTGAGCTCTGACAACCTGCCCTCTGCAGCGCATAGCCCAGGGTCAGGCCATGCATGAGTCCCCCTCCATGATGGGGGTCCGGACTGGCCTCCAGCCGCTTCCTGCCTCCAGAGTCCTTCCCAGACCCAGAGAAGCACATGGTCCAGCCCCGCCTCCAGGACACACCCTCCCTGGAGCTGCCCCCTTCTGCTCACCCCCCTGGGGCCCCCACGACCTGCCCAGGGACCTCTACCCCCAGCCACTTCTGAGGGGTGGGGGATGTAAGGTGAAGTGAGAGTGATGATCGGGGATCACAGCGGGGATGGACATCAATGGCGGGGGGGCTTCCACCACCACAGCACAGCTCGTTGTGAGCGTGTCTGCCCTGGGCTGCCCAGTGCCCGCACCTCCAGGGCCCTGAGAGGATGGGGAGGGGCTGCCTCCCTTGTCAGGGGCTGACCTTTCCAGGGTTTAGCCAGGGCCAGAGTGTGTGGTGCCGAGGTGGCTGCTCCTCGCTCTAGCTGCCCTCAGGCCACTGCTCCCCCAGCACCCTCCGGAGGAGCTGGGACAGGGCCTGGTGGCTGGAGAAGGCAGCAGCAGGCTGGACCTTCCTGGCAGCTGGGAGGGAGACGGGGCCCACAGACACAAAAAGCAGTCCCTCCCTGGAGAGCCTGGGCTGCTGCAGTCACCCCAGCCCAGCGCTCCCTGCCAACCAACTATCTGATCCTGAGGGTCAAGGGTGCTCCAGACACAGAGTGCCCTTGGGTCAGGGTCAGGCCCTGGGAGAGGAGGGACCCCTGTCCTGGGACCCTGCTCCAGCTGTTCCTCCCGTCTGGAAGCCAGAAACCAGCGAAACCAGGGCGGCGCAGCGGGGTGGGGCAGGCTGGGGAGCGTCAGTGCACTTTATTGAGTTCACTGGCCTGCAGCTGGGTCTCTGTAAACTGCGCAGGAAGGGGCAGTGGGGGGTGGGGGGGCTCAGGGGGCAGGGCCACCGTGCTGTGGAGCCTGCTGTGGACCGTTCAGGACTTGGTGTTGGCCATGAGCAGCTACCGCCAGCCTCTTTGCTGTGTTAAATCCTAAAATGTAGAAAAATGTAGCCTGAAACTCGGCCCTGATCTAGTGGCAAAAACAATGATAAATATGATGATCAGAAGGAGGCCCAGGACCAAGGAGCAGATGTTCAGGCACTTGGCGGTGGAGGCATAGCTCTGGGCCCCAGTGATGTCGCCGACCATCTTCCGGTCCCTAGACTGGAGGGGGAGAGGTGGTGAGGGTCCAGGTGACCGCCAGGCCTGTGACTCAGGCCCTCTCCTGCTGACCCCCCAGTGCCCGTTCACCCCAGCAGTGAGTCTCCCCTGCCCGTTCCCCGGAGTCTGAACAGGCCAGCGCCCATGGGTCCCCCTCCCCTCCCGGGGCTTCCATCTGCGTCCCTGCAGAATGGCAGCCTCTCCAGGAGCCCCAGGGCTCACCCTCCCTTCCTCTCAGGCCCCTTCACTGGCCCCTTATCCCCCCAGGGGATAAAAGGTTGACATTGTTCACTCCCATGAACCTCCTGCAGCCTCATCATGACCTGCACATTGGTATACGTACACACACAACACACACACAGGACAATACATACAGGAGCTCCCCAACCCACATCCCGTCTGGGCAGGGCCCTCTCCAGGCCCACACACACTTTCTTGGAGATGCCCCCAGGTGCCCACCCACCTTCACGGAGTAGGCGAATGCCACGAAGCCCAGGCAGCAGATGTTCATGAACAGCGTGTTGAACAGGGACCAGACGATGTGGTCACGTCTGGGGCTCTCCGTCTGGATGTCAATCACTGCATTCTTCACCGGAGCTGAGCCTGGAGGTTCCCCCATCACAGCCGCCTCCTGCTCCCCTGAGAACATGTCTTAGGGTGGAGGCTGCAGGTGTGGACACCAGTGAGGAGGACGAAGAGCTGGAGTCACGAGGCTGAGCTCTGACCAGTTTTGGAGTGAACCGGATGCTGGAGGGTGGTCCTTCATGGGGCCCAAACTTCACCTCACGTCAGTTCTGCTTTCTCAGAAGCTTCAATTTCCTGTTATTTTGTAAATGCATGAATTGGCTAGGCACTGGGAAGGTGGACAAATCACGGAAAGTTACACACAGGCAGGGTGGGATGGTCACCATCCAAGAGCTGGCTTTCTGCCCCAGGCACACAAGTCAGGACCTATTTAGGATGTGGTCCAAAGACTTTCCCCAGCCAGGGGGTCTCAGGCCCAAGCCTGCTGCAGCGCCCACTGTCCCCACTTGGGGCCCCTGCCAGGCCCCACTCAGCCTCACCCCCAGACCCAGAGGAGCCCCACCTTCACCGCCAGCCCACAGCCGCACAGGCCTCCCCTCTGAGGAGCGCTGGCTCCCCAGTCCTGAGTCCCCGCTCCAGGCGGGGTTTGGGTCCTTCCTGGTTACAAGTCAGCACACAGCAGCCCGTGTGGCCTGACCCAAAGGAGCCTCCCGCGGTTCCCCAAGGGTTGGATTCAGTTCCGTCCAGTTCAGTCGCTCAGTCGAGTCTGACTCTTTGTGACCCCATGGACTGCAGCACGCCAGGCCTCCCTGTCCATCACCAACTCCCGGAGCTTACTCAAACTCAGGTCCATCGAGTCGGTGATGCCATCCAACCATCTCATCTTCTGTTGTCCCCTTCTCCTCCTGCCCTCAATCTTTCCCAATATCAGAGTCTTTTCAAATGAGTCAGTTCTTCCCATCAGGTGGCCAAAGTATTGGAGCTTCAGCTTCAGCATCAGTCCTTCCAATGAATATTCAGGACTGATTTCCTTTAGGATGGACTGGTTGGATCTCCTAGTAGTCCAAGGGACTCTCAAGAGTCCTCTCCAACTCTATACTTCAAAAGCATTAGTTCTTCAGTGTTCAGCTTTCTTTATAGTCCAACTCTCACATCCATACATGACTACTGGAAAAACCATAGCTTTGACCAGACGGACCTTTGCTGGTAAAGTAATGTTTCTGCTTTTTAATATGCTGTCTAGGTTGATCATAACTTTTCTTCCAAGGAGCAAGCATCTTTTAGTTTCATGGCTGCAGTCACCATCTGCAGTGATTTTGGAGCCAAAAAAAATAAAGTCTGTCACTGTTTCCATTGTTTCCCCATCTATTTGTCATGAAGTGATGGGACCAGATATTATGATCTTAGTTTTCTGAGCGTTGAGCTTTAAGCCAACTTTCTTCACTCTCCTCTTCCACTTTATTCAAGAGGCTCTTTAGCTCTTCTTCGCTTTCTGCCATAAGGGTGATATCATCTGCATATCTGAGCTTATTGCTATTTCTCCTGGCAATCTTGATTCCAATTTGTGCTTCACCCAGCCCGCCATTTTGCATGATGTACTCTGCATATAAGTTAAATAAGCAGGGTGACAATATGCAGCCTTGACATACTCCTTTCCCAATTTGGAACCAGTCCATTGTTCCATGTCCAGCTTTAACTGTTGCTTCTTGACCTGCATACAGATTTCTCAGGAGGCAGGTCAGGTGGTCTGGTATTCCCATCTCTTGAAGAATTTTCCACAGGTTTATTGTGATCCACCCAGTCAAAGGCTTTGGCGTAGTCAATAAAGCAGAAGTAGATGCTTTTCTGGAAATCTCTTGTTTTTTCTATGATCCAAAGGATGTTGGCAATTTGACCTCTGGTTCCTCTGCCTTTTCTAAATCCAGCTTGAACATCTGAAGTTCTTGGTTTTTGTACTGTTGCAGCCTGGCTTGGAGAATTTTGAGCATTACTTTGCTAGTGTGTGAGATGAGTGCAATTGTGCAGTAGTTTGAACATTCTTTGACATTGCCTTTCTTTGGGACTGAAATGAAAACTGACCTTTTCCAGTCCTGTGGCCACTGCTGAGTGTTCCAAATTTGCTGGCATACTGAGTGCAGCACTTTCACAGCATCATCTTTGAGGATTTGAAATAGCTCAACTGGAATTCCATCACCTCCACTAGCTTTGTCCGTAATGATGCCTCCTAAGGTCC